AGTAATAGTATTCTTAGACATTTGAGGACCTTCCCTAGGAAAATATAATTAGACTTAATTTTCATAGCTTCAGAAGGCAAAACTTGGATCACTTACTGAAAATTGGAATGCAAAATTTTTTATTCACCGTAAGGAAAAACTTCACAGGATGAAAAAAGCTGTCTTATAAGAATTCATGCATTTAATGATGTCTCAAGGAAAGTATAGAAGGCATTCCTGTATGGCAAGAAAGTTAGGTTAAGTAATTTCTCTCCTTAGGCCTGAGATACTATAATATTAATGTTATATTCATTTGATTTTGTGAAAGGAATGTATACCAACAGTTTCCAGTGTGAAAAAAAAACTTAACAAATCTAATATATTCTAATGCATTATTGAAGAGATGCTAGTACATATTACTCTTGAGAATATAATTAAACTTCTCATTAGGTATCCAAAATATAGAAATTTTCTCTAAAGGCTAATTTCTGCATAAGATAAAATATTATGTAGACTATTTCAAAGCAGACAGGAAAGTCATATGAAAAGGATATATCAAAAAGTTTCAAAAAGAGGCTCCTGATTTATGTGTTGTGTGTTTGTGGACCTAATCAGGACATTTGAGTCAAAAAACAAGTTTAGTATGTCAGCAACCCAGTGAAAGACTGACAAGATTGACCATACAGAGAAGATTAAGATGTTTACTTTCTCTGTTGAAGAAATGTAGACTTACAGGTATAAGAGAAACAAAATCATGCTTTTGAACTCTTTTTAGTAATGATCATTGGCTTTAAGGATTTTAATTCAGTTATTAATTATTTAGGTTACATAAAATAATTCATTATGCAATGATTTTACTGCAAAAGCAAAATGCCGAAAGTCATTGTTGATGATCCCCTGTATTTTTGGCACATTCATCTCTATAAATATAAAATATGTTCTTAAAATACTCCCCAGTTAACACTTACTCATCAGCATGACACCTTGCTGAATGATTTGAAGTTACAATTCATAGATAATTGTTTTATCTTGAAGCCATTATCTCTCATAATGCTACTGTTAAACATGAAATGGTATTTTATTGCTAAAAATGGTGGTTCCTTTGGATGGTTGAATAAAGGAGGATTACGTTACTTAAGTCAACGGCAAAATACGACAAATCATTTTGCCCTGCTAACCATTTTTCTGCAATTACATGTGAAATTTGGCCTTTTTCATCTGCAAAAGACCTGACCGTTTTCATTTATACTTCCTGGAACATGCATTCATTCATTCAGTCATTCAAAATAGTCATTGGATGCCTCCCGTGTTTGATGCATTAAAAGGAGCATTTAAGCCAGTTTTAGGGCATCAGGAATGTTTCTCAGAGAAAGTGACGTTTAAAATAATAGCTGAGATGAACAAGTGCTAGCCCAATAAACACTCTAGACTTAAGGATTTGCAAATAAGAAGTCCCAGCAATGATAAAGAGTATCCACATAATTTGAGAACTTCAGATGGCCCCACGTGGCTATGGCATTATATGCCAAAAAAGCAGTGGCCGCAGGTACAGTTGGAGGGGTAAGTGCAGTGGTGGTGAGGGTCGGGGAGGGCACATAATGTAGCTCTTCCTTGCCATGCTAAGGACTTACTCATCCTGTCTGTGTTTGAGAACTAGTGTATACTTTCAAGCAAGAGAAGGCCATGGTTTGACATGTTCATAGGATCATCACTGTGATTGCAGTGTGGAAAAATCACCAGATAAGAAAACATGGAGACAAGATCTTTAGTTAAGAGGATATTCTGACAATCCAGATAAAATATGACAGTGACCAGATGAAAATAGTAGCAACAAGAAAGTCAGGAAACAGAGAGTAATAGACTCATGGAACTGATGATCTAGAGGATATCTGGAATAAGAGAGGCCTCTAGACTGCTGACCTGGGCAATTGAGTGGATGACAGTGACTTCAGATGAAATGAAAAGCAAGTTTAGCGAGAGATGAACTTAATTGTTGTCACTTCAAATTTAAGGTGCTTCTGTGTTATACAATATTTATTCAAGAAGCAATTAGAAGTGGAAGTCTGGAACCCATTAGAGATACCCAGGCTTAATATATGAAAGACAGAGTTTTGGGCATACAGTTAAACGAAGTCATAGTAATGGATGAAGTCACCAAGGTAAATGTGGAGGAGAAAAAAAGAGATGAGGGCCAAAGTTAGAATTCAGGGCATCAATCTTATTAAACAGAAAGGGAAGGGAGAGTCCATAGAGGAAAATTAGAGTAGCCATAGAAGTTGGAGAAAAATCAACCGGCTTACTCTTGAAGAAACCATGGGAAGAGAAAATTTCAAAGAAAGAGTATCCAGAAACATCAGTGACTACAGAAAACTTACATGTCAAGAGGCCTGATTATTGTAAGTTTTGCTTTAGCAACACAGGTCTTATGGGTCATCTGGTATTATGTTTAATGGTGAAATCAGAAGCCTGTTTAAAGGGTGAATGGGAGATGAAGAAGTACAGACCAGGAATGTAAACAATTTCTTTTTAAAAGCTTACCAAAAATAGGATAGAAATTGTCAAGCCATTTGAGACCTCACAGATTTCTTTGTTAAGACTGGAAAGGCTTGACCAATTTCAGATATTAAGAGAATGAGCCCACAAAGGAGGGAATGAAGATGCTGGAGAAAAGGGGGAGGTAGGCAAGGAAACCAGTTTCACAGTGGGGTAGCTTCAGACAAAAGACAGAGACAAATGTCAAAGCGATGGAAAATAATGTGACAAGACACTGAATTGTTTGCCAGGCAACCAAGGGAGCATCCAAATCAGAGCTTTCTGATCTCTTAAAATAGGGGGCTATCATTGACTGAGGGTGAGGTGTAGAAGTAGATTTGAGATTGACTGGGCGCAGTGGCTCATGCCTATAATCTCAACACTTTGGGAAGCTGAGGCAGGTAGATCACCTGAGGTCAGGAGTTTGAGACCAGACTGGCCACATGGTGAAACCCCATCTCTACTAAAAATGCAAAAATTAGCCAGGCATGGTGGCATACATCTGTAGTCCCAGCTACTTGGGAGGCTGAGCAGGAGAATCACTTGAACTCAGGAGGCAGAGGTTGCAGTCAGCCAAGATCGCACCACTGTGCTTCAGCCTGGGTGACAGAGCTCTGTCCCAAAAACAGAGATGTGTACCCTTGTCATATTGGGAAACCAAATTCCTTTTACATTGTTATAAAATCTGTGTCACAATATACTTTCCAATATAACACCAAAAATGTAAAAAAATAAATGATCTAAAATTCACTGTGTCAGTCAATTTCACTGCAGGAAATAGCATAAACTCTCAAAAAGAGTTCCAAACAAAAATTAATTCCATGGCAATATCTGTGGTGAAAATGACATCGGCTGTTGTTTGTTGTGAATTACCACCCATTCCATACCAACAATTGTTTGACCATCAGAAGACACATGAAACATCAATACATTCTTCTTGATTGACTAAATTAATCCCAGTCTATGGGATGTTACCAAGTTCAATACAGAGCCTGCAGGCAGCTTCGTGGCTCCAGCTGAGATTATCAGGAAGTCATTTCACTAACATGTCCATCTATTTTGTTACTGACTCTTTTGTTTCTCAACTTTTCTTTTGATATTGTTTATAAGATGTAAGTCACTATTCTGACCAGTCCAAAACCTGTCTTAAAAAATCCAGCTAAAATACAATTCCAAATTCCCTTCTTCCTTTTTTTCAACTCTCACATGCAAAGATCACATTCCCATGAAACAACATTCAATGTTGCATTCTTGCTGCCATGTTAATTATTTGTCAGGTGTTTTTTTTTAATTATTATTTTCCTGCAGTTTAAGTCAATTTCTAGAAAGTAGGATTTCTTTCATTGACTGTTTCAGTGCATTGCACATAGCTCTTCTTAAGTTCTTATTGCATAATTGATTATTGTGTTAAGTATAATTCTGTTTCATGAGAATTGTAATTTTGAAGCTGTTTACACACTATTCTGAAGCTATTCTCATTTCCTTGTGGAAAGGTCTTAAAGGATATCACCCCAATGTCTCTTGTTAGCAAGCATAAAAAAGAAGATATTGATCTGAGATTATTAGTTTTAGATCGACTCCTCCGTATTTATGAAGAACCACCTACCTCTGACAAGAAACAGATGACTAACAGTCTTTTTAATTTTTTATTTTTGAAATGGAGTGTTGTTCTTGGTGCCCAGGCTGGAGTGCAATGGCACAGTCTTGGCTCACTGCAACCTCTGCCCCCTGGGTTCAAGTGATTCTCAGCCTCCCTAGTAGCTGGGATTACAGGCACCCACCACCATACCTGGCTAATTTTTGTATTTTAGTAGAGATGGAGTTTCACCATGTTGACCAGACTGGTCTCAAACTCCTGTCCTTAAGGGATTTGCCCACTTTTGCCTCCCAGAGTTCTCGTATTACAGGTGTGAGCCACCATGCCCAGAGAGTAACAGTCTTAATGTGATTACACAGCAGATCATTTATGCTCCCATTACCACTTAAAAGATTTATGCTTTCCACCTTGAGGTGGCTTCAAAAAGCCAACTGGTGGGCATGTGCCAAGGCCACACTATTTGTAGCACCATTTTCTAACATCTCATAGAGCTAAAACCTGGGATACAAAGGAAGAAACATAAATGCCCAGAAGAAGCAATAAATTTTAGAGACTCTTGAAGTCTATTCTCCAATTTAGAGTAGAAGAAAAAACTTACATAGAGATTGACGCAGGGAAAAGAGAATAGCAACTCTTATTGTCAGTGTAGCTACAATAGCACAGTCTTAGTTTCTCAAATAAAAGAGCTTCTTTAAAAATATTTGTATCAAAGACTGAGTTCTCTGTCAATGATAAAGTGCGTGTGTGTGTGTGTGTGTGTGTGTGTGTGTGTGTGTGTATAAGAAAGTATATGTGTTCATAGATACACATTCATAGATAGGGACTGTATGATAAAATACATCCTAACTCTCACTAAATTAAAAACAAACTTCTTCTTCCTTTTCCTTTACAGAATTGTCAACATCACACTGCTGGTGACTTCTGTGAACGATGTGCTCTTGGATACTATGGAATTGTCAAGGGATTGCCAAACGACTGTCAGCAATGTGCCTGCCCTCTGATTTCTTCCAGTAACAAGTAAGATTGAGAAATATAACCATATTTCCCAATCAGAAATGCCATCTGTCCAGCACATGGGCTGTCTATAATTTGGCTATTTTTTCCACATAGACAAAATCTCAATTTAAGATAGGGATATTTTTAATAATATAAAAACATGACAAAAGTGAGTAGATAATACTCTATGGCTCATTTTTCCTTTGAAACTCTGTCCCAAGTAAATAATACTTATTACTTAAAATGTAAGCACCCATATTAATGTAAGATATGTTTATAAAACAAATGATATTATGCAAATGTGCATGGTTTCATAAATATACCGGTCTAATGTTCGCATATGGTTTTGTCAATAACATCAGCTATGAAGGATTGTTTGGATGCATATTACATCCAAACAGCCACAAAAATATTAGGTAAGTTTTGTGGCTGTTTCCATTTGTTTTATGAGTTTAATTCAAGATTGGGAAAAATTATCAAGAAAACAATTGAAAAATTGTACAGTTAAAGCAGGTAACTTATTATTATGCTCAAAAAAAATCATATTCCAGAATCACAGCCTACTTTTGCTTAAGATGGTCTGAGCTTGGTACCATGGAAACACAGCCATAAGAAGAAACAAATGCTGGAATATTTTATTTCAGTGCTGTCTGAACATTGTGCAGTGGATTGTATATTGATGACAACCCTAGGTGTTTTCATTTACCTTTTTGCCCAGACTACCTGAACTTTCTGTTAAGTGATTTATAGGCTTCAGTAAGGCAGAGTAGTTTTACTATAAGAATTTGCTTTTGAAAATAATGTATGGCAGTTTGTTCAGAATTAGAATTCTGGACACTTTATCTTGAGTGTTAAAGAGCCACAGAGCAATTCAGACCACGTGATCTTTGCACCTGTGCCTACTCACTTTCTTCTTCGTCTTCAGCTTTATATACATTCTGTAAACATTTCCTGTAAATCATCTCCTTTTCCTCTGAAAGCTCCTCTTTTTGTTGGCTGGAATCACAAGCCTTTTATAGGGTGTCAAATGTAAATTTTTAGGCAAGCTGGATATTGGAGAGGATAATATACATGGTCTTATTGTGCATCCAGGGAACAAGTAGTAGGTGTATAAAAAATATTATTTTCATCTTTCTTTCCCTAGTTTCTTCTTGATGCCCAGATTTAAACAAGATAATGCCATTTCTTTAATTGTTTTTAAAATGTAAGCCATTTGCATTAGAAAATTTAATAATTAATTGATAATTCCCTGTTTGGGTACACTATAATGAAAGCTACAGGGGATATGCAAGAGAAGTATGTCATTTCTTGGAGGAGGTCACTATAAAACCTGTGTGTTAAGGGCATCCACTTAAATGTAAAGAGAATTCAAAGGCATAAAATACCACACTTAATACTGGAAGCTTCAAGAACATATTAAGAGAAATAGTAGTATGTATAATAGATCTTAAACAATGAATTTAAGGATTTGCACTGGTGGAAATAGTAGCAAATTATATGGGCAAATGCTTGAAAAATACAAGGCATGTACAAAACCTAAAAATTAACATAATTTGGAGCATGGAGTTCAGACACAATTTCATAATCACAGATGAAACTGAATGGGAAAAGGAAGGTCATATTGTAGAAATCCTTAAATGCTAGCCTATGAAACAGTTATTTAATTTTCTGTGTAATAAGGAAACACTACAAGCTTTTATTTAAAAAAAAATGTTAATATGATTATGGCCACACTTTAGGAAAACTAGTATAACAGAACTGAGTATAATGAATTGAAACAGGCAAATGAGTAAAGCATAGAGACGAATTAAAAGGCTAGTATACTAGCCTGGGCAAAAGATAATTAGAACCTGAAGTAGGTAATAATAACAAGAATGGAGACAAGAGGATGAATGTGAGAAAATTGTTTAATGCAACTCTACGGATTTTAAAACTAATTAGCTGTAAAAGGTGAGGGTCCGGGCAGGAGTTGAAGACTGAGGTTTTTAGGCAGGTTGCCCCCCAAAATGGTGGTGCCATTAACTGAAATAGAGAAGCCAGGAGAGAACTGTTACAGAAGAAAGATCATTTATTTTTCAAATAGGTTCAAACTGATAGAACGTATCTGTCTGAATGGAAATATGCAAATAGCTGCAGGAAATGGAATTCTGAAAATTGCAGGAGCAGATGAAGGAAGAGATATGTTAATAAGTGAATTAAAGTTGGATAAGATTTCCCAGGCTAATGTTATCCAAGGCAAGCATATAGAAAGAAGGAAAGATAGGACTTTATGTTGGGAAGGAAGAAAAAGTAGAGCCAAGGCAGGAGCAGTCAGAAGAAAGGGAACCCACGTGGCATTGCCATTGATTGACACAAAGGGAGAGAGGAGCAGTGAATAGCATCAATTGCTGCTCTCACAAGGGAGACCCAGTGAATATGGTGGCAATTGACTATTGTGATTGAGCAAATGAATGGGCTTGCTGCCTGAAGCACAGAGAAGCCAGTAACTTTGGCACTGGTATTTGAGAAAAGAAAGGCTTTATTGCAAAGTCGGTTAGCAAGGAGACAAGAGTGAGGTTCAAATCTGTCTTTCTAATTTGAGATATGGGGCAAGTTTCAAGGGATCAGAAGGCAAGGGAAAGGACTGACAAATGCTGGCTTGGCAAAGTCTGATTGGAGGGTTTCAAATGTGATCACTTACCGTAAGGTATATTAAGGCGGATTTTAGCCCTGGATCTTCTGGGCTGAACGGACCCCTGAGTTTTGAAGAGTTCCAGTGTTCAGGTTCTGGTTTTGTCCCAGTCTTGGTGTTTCAAGGGGAGGAATAGTTGGTTCCTAGTGTTGTTAGAGGCCAGAGTTTTTCTGTTGAACACGCTTGGCCTACATGACTTGCAGTGTTTGGCTCTGTTACACCTAAAAGGTAACTTGACATTTTATTGTCAACAGGGTAGCCCGGTTTGGGTTACTTCTGTGGTTGTACTCTAAGAGTCATTGATGAATTTTGAGCATCAATAGGAAAAGCAGAATTTGCGTTTACATTTTTAAGAAATTTCAAGAATGAAATGATGGCATACTACCATGATTAGTTCACAGAATCAATATCAGAGTGTGTTTTCGTTTTTGTTTCATTGTTGTTTTATATGATTTCTATAATTTGAGTAAATTTTGATGCAAAAGACCCTGAAAGAATCAAAATACCAAATTAAAATGGCAAAGTTCAGTGATTTTCAAACTTTACTGATTGCACCCACTGTAAGAAACACTTTTTTACATCATAAGTCAGAAACACACAAAAACTTGTGTGTGTAGATATCTAAATATAAGCATTATAGACCATACCATTTATTTAATTTTATCATTTTACATTTTTAGAAAAAAATTTTAGTCAAAACCTACTGAATGGATTTCATGAGTCACTAATATCACAACCTAAGGCTTGGGACATAGTAGGCTAATTAACAAAGTGAAGATCTATATATGGTGAGAAGAGAAGAATTAAAATGTGAAGTAAAGAAACCAGCCAGGGCAAAGAAAAGAGGCACTTTTCCCCAAGATAAAAACAGATTCTAACGAATAGATGGAGGAAGCCGAGATATCTCAAATTTGTGACTTCAATCTGTGCAGTCAGTGAAAAACATGGAGGCGTGATGAGTGATTACTGACTCATTTCCACTGCATTAGTTCAAGTCCTCATTATATCGTACCAAAACAAATATGGTAGATGTTTAACTCTTATGTCAGTGCCAGTGCTCACATACCTTAGAAGTTTCCACTGCCTTCCCAAGGAAAGATCAGACTCTTTGGCTGAGAATTAGAAACACTCTACAATCTGACTACCTTTCTAGGCTGCACGCCCTCAACTCCATTCTACATGATACCAAGCTTGGCGTTCCTTGCATTTATCTAAACATCATTAGCAGTTTGCTCTTGCTATTCACTGAGACAATCCCTGTGAAATCTAACCTACTTTTAAAGGCATTTTTCAGACCCCACCTCTGCCACAAAACCTATCCATAGCATAGCATGCATTTTGTACATTTTATATACAACATGTTTTACTTCACATCATTATTTCAATCATTCCTTCAGAAGATGAGTATTTACTAAGCATATACTTCATCCCAACACTATGAATAAAAGATACAAGATGTGTCCTGTCCTATAAAAGATGTGTCCTGTCCTATATGTGTACGTATCTGTCTCTCACACCAAATTGTAAATTTTTTGCAGGTCACCATAATATTTTATTTCTTTCTTTATTCAGGAAAAAGTTAATGAGGGCCCAACTCAATGCTAGGCATGGCTCTTCCTACAGGGAATACATGAGTGAAAAAAATAGTCCATGCTTCCTGGCTTCTGGAGCTCATATAATTTTTTTATAAGAGAGTAAGATAAAGAAATAGATATATAATGTAATATCAGATAATGACAAGTACTACCAGGAGAAATAAAGGAGCCTTGACAAATTTAGAGTGACTAAGATATGATTTTAGATAAGCTGGTCAATGATCTTCAAAAATAGATGAGACTTGTGCAGAAATGCATATGGTGGGAGCCATGCGAATACCTGCAAGTAGAGCAGCCCCCTCAGAGAGAAAAGTTGATGCACTGGCCCAGAGGTAGGCCCATACTTGGCCCATGCTTGGCAGACAGCAAGAGACCAGGGTAGCTGGAACAGAGTGAATGAGAAGAGGGTGATGGGAAATGAAGTCAGCAAAGCTCTAATGAATATCTAAATGTCCTGAAGGCTAAAAATCTTCCAGTGGCAAGAGGTGACTTGGTACAGGATAATCCAGTGGTGTTATTGATGGGAGTACCAGCAGCATTTGCAGATAGAAGATAGGTGGAGTGTGAGAGAGGAGACGTGGTTGACTCTGTGGTTTTCAGCAGAACAAATGGAAATATAGAGTGACCATTGACTGGGATGGGGAAAATTAGGAAAAGATCTGGTGTATTTTTGAAGGTGGAGAAACTTAGTTTTAGATCTGTGAGGGTAGGCACAGTATTTAAAGCCCTTAGGACTAAGTAAGATCATTTAGAGGAGAGAGGAGAAGGGAGCAGAAATCAGAAAACTGAACTGTGAAGCATGTTAGGAGATCAAGGACATGCCATAGATCCAGCAAAGGAAACCCAAAAGGAACGACCAGTAAACTGGGGTCACAGCCAGAAGGAAGTGGCTTCCAGGAAGCTCATTTATCTCTGCAGTGTCCATAGGAGACAAGACAGAGAGCAAACTCTGTAAATTTAAAAATTCTGTTGAGGGAAGTTGGAATTAGCAACCATAGGGAAATGTAAAAGATGGTCACCATGAGAAAATCATGAGGATTTCTGAGCAGCGTTGCAGACAAAATGAGAATGGAGGGCAAATAAGAGAGTTGTGAACAGAAAGAATAAACTCAAGCTTCAAATGAGATGGAATCCCTACTCCCTCCAGAAGACCTCTTATGTGATATCAAGAAACAGTGCAATCAACTATAATACCATAATTTGAAAAAAAAAATTATTTCAACTATTCAATAATTACTACATTCCTGTATAATACTTTAAATATTTATTGACATTTTGTTATTTTACTATAACGAAATGTAATTTGATCATGCTAGCTCTTTAGAGCTGCACTGGAAATGTCTAAAATCTGGTTTTTAGAGCTCATATATGTATGAGTGTGTGCGGGTGTGCATGTGCATGTTTGTGAGTGTGTGAGTGCACAGATGCACTCAGTATTAGGCTTTAAATTAATGGGCTAAAAATTTGGCAGAGTGTGTCAATTATAAGTTTATTTTTTGTGAAGGCAAAAATAAATTTGTTGGATAATGAGCTTGTGAGTAGATCAATTTGTTCACATAATTTTGCAAAAGTTGGAGTTTATTACTCATTCATGTACTATTGATTTAATGTATTAAAAGACAGTTAACATTAGGTCCTAATAGCACCTGACCAAAGGATCTGTGGGCCGGGCCTATACCCCTTATTGCTTGTTCAGCATCAACTGATTTAGTGAAGCAGCAAAAAGAAAAATGCTGTTTGCAGCATTATCATTCTACCAGATAGATGTTTTTTCTTCCCAAGTTTCCAATGCATCACTCAGTTTTACCTAATGGGAATGAAGCTGAGAGAAGCTGTAACAACCCAAACCTACGTATTAATATAGTTTAGTTTTCAAGACTTGTGAAGTCCTTCTTTTATTGAATAAGATCTTTAGAAATCCTGGAGCAAGACAGACTGTCTGTGGTCTACCAGCATTGTACTAGAAACATCAGGGAAGTTATATGAGACCTAATTATTAGAAAAGACCATAAAATAGTCATTTTCATAGAAAAAGCTTTCCCTTCTTCTCTCCTCACACTAAATCACATTGCTTTGTGTTCAAAGTAAAATGTAGTTTGAAATCTGGATGTAAATTAGAAAATATACTCTTTTATCCCAAGTGAAACATTTATTCACATTTCATGTGTTGAAGCACCAGTGGCCATTTGGGCTGAGTTTTCAGGAAAAAGAAATTATATAGATTTTATGCCCCTTTTGTTTAACCTAAAAGATATTAAGTAATAGCTACTCCACTATCAGACAAATATGCATAAATTCTAGTCGGGTTTTTCTTTTGATTAGTGAACAATAAGACAGTTTTGCTGGATGTTTAGTATATTCATGGCTGTCACCTCATTATTAAATTCTGGAATATTCACGTGCTTTGTGTGATGCATTTTTAATCCATCAAAAACCAAACAATATATACTCAGTCAGTATTACTAATAGTTTTTCATTGTGATGTCCTACCCTTATATAAGAACTTCAGCAATAATTATAAAGATGTTATTCATCGCCACCTAAAAGTATATCCCAATAACCTTGATAATGGATAGGAATACTTAATTTTATAAAATAAATGGATTAAAAAGTTTTTGCAATCCTTTTCTTTCTGATTCAGTTTCAGCCCATCTTGTGTCGCAGAAGGCCTTGATGACTACCACTGCACGGCTTGTCCACGGGGATATGAAGGCCAGTACTGTGAAAGGTACCAACAATCCTGAAACGTACAGAGTAACGATACATAGAGATTATACAGTAAAGGGTCACAACAGGAAAACATTCATTATTTGAAGACCATCATTTTTTGCATATTCTCTAGTAGTTTAAATTATAATGCTTTCAAAACTACTTGTGTATCTTAGAATTTGTCCAAAGAAAGTTGTTTATTTCCAACGTATGTTTTAGACTTTCTCAAAGATTCTAAGCTATTTCACAATTATCTAATTTATGCTTTAATATACATATAATTTTATACTTAAATACGTAATTTTATAAGAACAAATAAATCAATTTTCAAAAGCTTAGCAGTAGTTACTACTAGTAAAAAACTGGCTACACTTTTCTTATTCTAACGCACTGGAAAATATTGTCTGGAAGTAACTGCATTCACGTCATTGCTCTGAGTACTATGACACCATACAAGCAAGTGTATACATAGCTCAAAATATAGATAATGTCAAGAATTTTTAATTAACACCCCAACAATAAAGTATTTGTTATTCAGTTTTCCTTTTCAATGGCAAACAATATTGTTTAAGTGTTTTCTCCTACTGTATTACTTACAAAGTCTCATAATGCATGTATACAGCTGTTAAATTGAATTCTGAATGTAATCCAAATGGTAACTTAGGGAATCTAGTTCCAAACTGATTGCCTAGAAAGGTTGCAATTAATAACTTCTAGTTACATATTTTCTGTAAGATCAGTATCCTGTATGTTCAAACTTGTCACCACCACGTTTAGTACATTTTCGGTATTATCTCTAATATAACAGAGAATTACTAAAATTAACTACTAACATTGTACATACATGATAATTTTAACATAACTGATACCAATATAAAAGTTTTGTAAAGATCCGTGGACTTCGCTCAACTCCAACAATTCATCTAGGTTCCATTTTCCTCATCGGTAATCTCAGGAATCATTGATAGGCTACCTACTCTACACTATGTTGTGACAATAGTGTGTAAGGACACTCGGTACCCGCCTAGGCACCTACACTGAAGCCTTCTCTCCAACAGAAGAGGCAGAAAGGCCTGAGGACTTACCCCACCTTCCTGCAGTGAGAGTACAAAGTCCAGCTATTTGGCACCTAAGTGGAACAAGTTTTGAGATCTCATTTTATGCTCCAGAGCACTCCATGGAATCAGGCTGAGACTGGGACATCACCTGAAATCACACCTTTGCTTAGAGTCCTTCTTTTCCATGTCCTGCTTTACCCAATCTTTTGCCAGATTCTCCTAGGAACACTTAAATGATAAGTTTCTTTGGAAATATAAACTAATACTAATTATCAGCACCTACTTAAGAGTCTTATTTTATATAACCAGCAATAACTGTATTAACAATGGCAATAAGTAACTAAGTAATTACGTTTATGTTTTATAAATCCCAATGCAATTTTTATACATTTGTAAAATGTATTTCTAAATAAATCTGCATGTGGTAACTCTAAACATAATATCCAATAATGGCATATATATAGAACAGTGGATTCACAATTTCCATGCCAACAGAAATTAGCAGCAATTAAAGAACTCACAGCCACACAAAATCTAAACATATTTTCATTTGTTCTAAAAATATGTACATCATTTGGATATAGATATAGGTGATACAAGCACATACTTGTTAATATCCACCAATAAGCTTTGGTATTTATGGTTAGGCTAATACTCATTTCCTGTACCTTTAAACACTGGTAGGATGGTGGCTAACAGTGTCACTGGACACCAAAAAGATTATCTATAGTAATTCATAAAAAAATTTTTTATAGTATTGCTACATTTATACATTGTAGTTACCATTATCTATAAAAGCTTGTGTACAGAAAAGGCTAGAAGGGTACACTAAAATAATGAATTATTATCTTAAAGCAGAATGATTACAGAAAATTTATTTTTTAATATCCAGTAATATTTAATCAATAAGAGCTGACAGTTTGTATAGCATATAGATGAGCAGGGTCATATAGTATCAAATGTGAGTGGTTTAAATTGTTTTTCCAGTCCTCAAATGTTGTTATAGCTTTACATTCATCATCTCTAACATATAAATAATCAGGTTATATTTCTCTGAAAAAATTGCTTTTATTCAGCTATATTAAACCAAAGTTCTTGGTTAAATTTTTATTGTAATCTTCCAAATAAATTTGTTCCAGCAGTGAGAGCTTCTTGAATGATTTAAATAATCTTTTGACCTGCCCAGACTGATCAAGTTAGGTCTAAAGCTGCTTAAATTTCTTGAGTTTCCCTGTAATACAGAAATTTCTCCTCGTACTTTATTTTCAATACTCTTGTAATAAACTCTTTGAACATTTAATCGATCTGAATCTGCTTAGAATACAATTATTTTACCTATAAATATTAAGAAGCCATTTAAGTGGACTTTAATGCTATTTCATTGAATATTTGTAATTTTTCATTGAAAAGAAAATAATCAAAAACATAAATGTATAAAAGCCTAATGTCACAAATAGTTTTCTTTGTGTTTTGCCTTTTCTAACCAGCACAGGACGAATTAACTTTCACAGTCAGCCATGCAGATTTCACAGTCTCAGGCTGCTAAAGATGGTCTCTGATTATCTTGCCAGTATTTATAGGTTTTGGCTTCAATTCCCTACTGTCTCTCAACTTCCTCACATACTTGCCTGTTGAACAAAAATTCTAACTGTTGGTTATATTGACACTGACCATATACATAACTTGTTGTCCAATCTGGGACACTGTATTAAAAACAGGAAGTGTTTATAGCAATTAAGTCAAAACAACAGGTAATATTAAATTGTCCTAGGCAAACCAGAATGTGTGGCCCTGCTAGCATCGTGTAAAGTTACCACTCCCAGTGTCATAACCTGGAGTGAAATATACTTAGGTGAATGAATGCATAGATAGGTGGAAGAGTCAATTAATGGATTGTGTTTAGGGTTCATCCAGTTGGATTCTTTTCATAATTTTCAAAATCTGTTTTATATATTTTGTTTGCATATCATTAACCCACTTCATGAAAAATCCATCTTGAGGAAGATACAGTAAAAAGAAAAGATGAATAAAATTAAATAGAAAACCTGAGTAGCCTATTGCCACTTAACTTGCCTCTTTTTCATCAGTAGTAAAATTAATGGGTTTTATTCTTTGGTTATTTTGAGCTCTGAAATTCCTGAGTATAGGAAAGCCCAGAAGTCAATATAGAATTTTATTCATCTCTAATTATACAAGAGAACTTGACAGAAAAGTTTATGATCTAGAGCAGTGAAAAACTATGGCCCACAGGCCAAATTTGGTGCATTTTTATTCTGTATGGCACTCAATTAAGAACTGTTGTTACAGGTAAACATTTACAATCAATTTGATAATAGAAAGCACTAAATTATAACACAAATGAAGGATAATTTCAAACTTCAGAAAGAATCCCATTCTTCTCATTCGTAGACTAATATTACAAAATAATTTGACTCTATTATTACAAAATAATTTGACTCTATTATTATTATTATGTTTTGAATTCCATCAACAAGAACAGCAGAATGCTTAAAAATTTTATTTCTTTTTCACTGCATAATCTCGATATTTTCCTATTTCTGACAAAGCCTCCTATTTACTATCCAGCCCTTTACAGAAAAAGTTTACTGATATATGGACTCTTGCTATGAGTTTTGTTTCATCAAAACAAAAGACCACACATACATACAACAATAATGTGAAGACATGACTTGGACTTGCTATTAATCACTTTTGCTTTGTCACTGTTTCAATTCAGGTGTGCCCCTGGCTATACTGGCAGTCCAAGCAGCCCGGGAGGTTCCTGCCAAGAATGTGAGTGTGATCCCTATGGCTCACTGCCTGTGCCCTGTGACCCTGTCACAGGATTCTGCACGTGCCGACCCGGAGCCACGGGAAGGAAGTGTGACGGCTGCAAGCACTGGCATGCACGCGAGGGCAGGGAGTGTGTTTGTATGTATACTAACTTCGCTATTTGTTTTGGAGGCCTCGATTCCATTTCTGTCTCATTTCTGATGAGAAAGACTGACCCCCAACACATCTTTTTTTTTTCTTTTTACTTTTTCTTTTTTTCTTTTTTTTTTTTTTTTGCAATAGCTAGTTCTACTCTTCGTTCTGACACTATCTATCCACCTTCTGCTGTTCACCTGCTGATTTTGTGTCCATCCTGCTGAGCCAAGAACAGCTGAGAAAATCCTCAGCATGCTTTTAGTCAGTTCATTGAAAGACATACAGTGAAGCTCCTGGAGGCATTTTATTTTGTTGTCCATCTCAGGGTTTGCAGTTTTGCCTCAAGCTGGCATTGCCTTTGTGACAGGTTAAAGATCTGAGTATATTAAAAATTTTAGAATCCTCCTCAATTCATAATTGACTGGACAGATACTTAAGCGTTGAATGACAACTGATGTTTCTTTTCCTAGCTTTTATGAAAATCCATGGGCATACTGCTTCATAACTTCCTCTTGAACTACGAAACCTGTAAGCAGTAACAATGAAGTCAAGTATTTTTACTCACGTACAATAAATGGAGAGCAGTTTGCTCTCTTGCTGTCTCTCTTTTTTCTTACTGCTTCTGGATTCAGTAGTGCCATATTGAAAATACATTGAAATCAGCAGCTAAATATAATTCTTGGATCTTGCATACATTCAGATCCAAAATAGGTTATTTATAAATCGAAGGAAGGAGTGCTGTTCTATGGTATTCTTTTTCTTAAGGAAATTTATTTTAGCATCTTTTATTTAAACATTTACCTATTTTGATGGTATTTTTGCATGTCAATATTTCTTGTTTTAGCATCTTGTTTGTGTTTAAATCTTATTTCTCTTTTAAAGAGAAGAGTTTTGCGTTCTAGTTTTGTAAGAGTTACCTCAGAAGCTAAAGCTAGATTTTAAAATACACTAAAAAGTTAAGACTGGGTGTTGTTTGGGAAAATAGATTTCAAAATAATTTTTTTTTTGTATTTTAATTATCTTTAATGAAAATGTATTACACTGAAAATAAATGTGAAGGTAGGTGGGAGGGGAGAGATTAAATATATTATCAAATACATTTCATATTGTCATATTTAGTTGTTAGTATATGCCCACTCATTCTTCCCAAGTATAATGCTATATTTAATGATAATTAAAGAAGTAAACTACCAAAGTATTTTATACTATTGCTTTCACGTTAAATAAATTATTAACATGCACATAATTAACTAGATAATATATAGATATTCTTAATGTAAACATGAAACAGTCATTGAATTATTAATCATTGCTTTTATTAATTATCCAGAAGCAAACTTGAAATAAAAAGATCATACTAATGTTAAGCACAAAAATTAAACAATACCACATTAAACTGGGGGAAGATAATATAATGGGATTATTTTTGGAATTTTTTTTTTAAAGAGAATTGACATTCTGCCCATCAACAACAATGGCTTTAAGTTTTCACTGTTATTGTTGACGATCTAGACATTTTTATCATTTTGAATACAATTATCCTTAGAAATCTTAACTCATCTTTTCCCTGTCACATATGTGAGTTTCTAATCTCCACATGTCCCATGTGATATTAACAAAAGGGCCAATCCTCCAGTTACAAAGCTCCACCAGTTTTATAATGCCTGTTTGCTCTATTCTTGTCCCACAAGGAGATGTATTTGCCAGGGTTATACATGGTATTTAGTTCAGCTGCTGGACTAGAAGTGTTTATATTCTTTTAGAGGATTAAACAATAGCAATTTTTCTTCCAAAAAAATTATTAAATTATAAAATTGTTTTTGATAACTAGACCCGTTTTCTAAAGCACAATTAATTATCTTATAATTATGCTGTATAGATTTTCCATATACTGCTCTTAAGCATTAGTGATTTCCACTTAATTCTAGGAATGTTTTCTCTTCGCCTTTCATTAAGTTAACTCTAAGAATTGTTACACAGAGTATCTTTAGACTTTTTATCTTTTCTTCTGAAATTTCTCCAGTTATGGAAAAATATGCCGTGATTCTACGATCTTAGCCTTTCCCAGGATTCAGTTTCTACTCCTAGTTCTGAAATGAGATAAAATAAGACACCAAGTGAGGATGTAACTCTGACTTATTCTCAATTCTCCTTTCAATATATTTCTGTATCCTTAAGCAAAATTAATGTGAGAGACCAGAAAATGGATTCACCTGGTGTGTTTGATCTGCAGGACCTGGCTTAGCACATGTGATTGTGGTGGAATTGTATAAGGCCTGGGGGTGAGAGTAAGGGAGGTAGCTCGGCTCCAGCAAGAGAATTCATATGTAGTAAGAAAATGTCTGTGGTGCCTGCTGTTAATATGGTTCTGACGACAGAAAATAAACTTTCTCCTATTACTTAGAATAAGTCAATATTCAGTTTAGTAGCATGTATTGTACAAGAGTTAATTTTGCTTCTTTTAGTTACTTCCCTGGGAAATATAATCTAGACTGGTCCACATCAAGGATTTGTATAGAAAGAAATGCATGATAAATGACCCAAGCTGGATCATTGCATTATCTCATGTAATTTGTGTATTGGTGAAAGGCCTCTATGCACTCACTATCAATTTAGTTTAGGCTCTTATTTCACAAAGGATATAAAATTCTGCTGAAGAGATGAGACAAAACAATGCCAATACAGGAATTGTGAAAGCACTTCCCTTGACCACCAAGGTCCCTAAAAGGTATTTATAGCTTCCAGGGATGGTTGCCAGTGAGTGGGCCCAGATTTTATTGGATCTAAAAGGGAATTTTTTTTATAGCATGCAGGCTTTTCATATGTTCATTTTCACTACTATCATGAATAATTTACACAAATAATCCGTGTCCACATTAGGAACTATTTAGACATCACAGTCTCTCATAATTAGTGACCTAAATTCAGCCCCACCAAGCAGAGTCAGTTCCTGGGCATAACTAAGCAATTTACTTATCTTTAGATTCCAGGTATTCTCTAAAGTCCCTTTTACCACACAGGGTTTCATCCTAATAGTAATTTTATTTAGAGGCTCACCTTGACTTACCGTTTGCCAGGCACTACGTTAAGCATTTTACATGCGGTTCTTTTCATTCTTGTAACATTCCCATTCCTTGTCATCCCCAATGTGTGATAAAAAAAAAAAAAAAAAAAAAACCTGAATTTAGGTAGGTTCAGTCATTTCTTGGTGATTTTTCAGTAGATCTGTGATTTGAACATGGGTCAGTCTTACAAATCTTATTTTCTTAACCTTTATGCTGGCTGCTGATACAAAACAGAGAAAGCAAATGTGGCTTAGCCAATGTATTCAACACTAATGAATTCAGCCCTTTATTCATTTAATACTTCCATGTTTAGAGCCCGTTCTACCTAGATTAAAAATAAATATTAAATAAGCTAAAATTTAAAAATGAGAAATGTTAGGTACATATAAGCTCAATAATGACATATTTTTTTCTGCTAACCATTGAGACTCCTCTAAGATTTAATACATTATGGCATTTATGGGAGATTCATTTTTATCAGAGATTGTCAAGTAAAGACTGCCTTCTATGTAGAAGAAAAGACACCAGCTGGGTGCTCAGATTAACTTCACAGGCTTTTTTTTTTTTCTTTTTTTCCTGAAAATAATTATTTGGGACAGCTTTACAATGTTATGTATGTTGGTGAGTTCTAAAGAGATATTTATTTTATTAATCTCCCAAATTAAGATTTCTTCTTTTTTTTTTTTTTTTTTTGAGACAGAATTTTGCTCTTGTTACCCAGGCTGGAGTGCAATGGCGAGATCTCAGCTCACCGCAACCTCTGCCTCCTGGGTTCAAGCAATTATTCTGCCTCAGCCTCCCAAGTAGCTGAGATTACAGGCACGCGCCACCATGCCCAGCTAATTTTTAGTATTTTTAGTAGAGACAGGGTTTCACCATGTTGACCAGGATGGTCTCGATCTCTTGACCTTGTGATCCACCTGCCTTGGCCTCCCAAGGTGCTGGGATTATAGGCATGAGCCACGCACCTGGCCCTAGATTTCTTCTTGATAAATTAATACAAATCCGTCCTCCTCTTTCAACTCTCACTCATAGTTCACATGTCATTTTATAAAATGAGAACAACCAGCCTGCCTTCAAGAAACTTAAAAATGAACAAAGAAGCCATTATTTGCTTAACAATAAAGTTTAGTATTGTGAAACACAAAACTTGGATTTGTTCATATCCTATTTTCTGTAAACTCATATAAGTAACACAGAATAACTCATTTGATGTTTAAAATAGATTATGAGTGACATAGTAAAATATATGACTCTCCCTGAGAACAGAAATTAAAATTATTATCTGTTGGCAAGATATTACTTCATAAAAAGTGCCTGAAATAGCATTTTATAAATCTCAAATTAATGTTGTCTATTTTTAATCACTGCACAGTAAGGTATTTTGGATATGTCAGCTTTTATTATTTGTAGTCACAATCTATTTAAATGCTAACATATAGTTTTTTAAATAAAAAATACACTTTGTTTGCCAATTTGCAAAGTGATCACAAAGTTTGTTTTCTACTTGCAACCTGAAATAAATGTGGTAATTTACCTCAACTCTGTAAAATAGGCAACTTCCAGCCACTTGGTGAAACCTGAAGTCCAAAGTTTTATCCTACTTTGATACTATTCCACAGAGACATAATCAACATTGTTGTTTTTAATAGCCAGTTGCCACAAAAGGTCTGATCACAATAATGCAGAGACTATTCTATTACCACTAGAACACTCTTGTACATTTATAATCAAAGATGGTTACTAACGGCAGTTATTGTTCACCATATATGGGAATAGAAACAAACTAGAATGTGGTCGTTACTGTAAGAAAAACAGGACTTTCCTATTCTAAAAAGTGATGATAAACATCAATTGATCTCCAGAGGTTGATTACTGATCCAAAACTTTATTGTACCCGCTAAATGTCATCCTCTCTCTGCTCCTACTCACTGCTCC